CTATTTGATATCCAAAGATATATCCAGGTGATACAACATTGCCTATCAGTATTAAAACATAAACAAAATGAAAGGTTAAAAACATGATTGTCTTGGGGCTGAAGAGATAGTAGAGTGGGTAGAGCACTTGTCTTGCACGTGGCTCACCCAGGTTTGATCCCTTGATCAAACCTTGATCCCTTGATCACTAAGAAAATGATGGCTAGAGGAATCGGTCGGGATGGGAGATGTGTGCAGAAAGTAGATAAAGGACCAAACATGATAATGTCTCAGTGTCTGTATTGCAAACCGTAATGCCCAAAAGTAGAGAGAGATTATAGGGAATATTGTTTGCCATGGAGGCAGGGGGAAGGGTGGGAAAGGAAGGGTATACTGGGGATATTGGTGGTGGGGAATATGCACTGGTGGAGGGATGGTGTTTGATCATTGTGTGATTGTAACCCAAACATGAAAGCTTGTAACTATCTCATGGTGATTCATTAAAATTAAAAAAACAAAACAAAACAAAAAACCCCTTGATCCTTGACCATTCCATATGGTCCCTTGAGCACCACCAGGAATGATTCCTGAGTGCAGAATCAGAAGTAACTCCTGTGCATTGCCAGGTGTGGCCCCCCCCCAAACAAAACAAAACAAAACAGCCCCCATATGATTGTCTCAGAAGAGGTAGAAAAATCATTTGACAGAGAGTTTAATATCTACTTACTCAACAAAGTGGGATTAGAGAGAATGTTTTAACATAATAAAGGCCACATACGACAAGCTAACAAGCTAACATTCTCAATGATGAAAAGTATAATCACAATAAAAAACTGAATGCTTTTCTTTTAAGATCAGAAACAAGACAACAATACCCACTTTTACCATCTTTCTTCAAAGTATTTGAAGTCTGTGCCAAATCTGTCTTACAAGAAAAACAAATCAGTGGCATCTGGTTCAGAAAGAGCTCTGGAAAATGAGGAGAGAATAGGAAGAGCAATTTGTAAAGATTTAATGCCTGATAAATCTGTCATTTTAGGACAGAATCTTTGTATGAAGTGTTCTGAGGATATGTGGATAGGAAACGATAGCTAGACTAGAGAATTTATAGTTAGACAGGTGGGGGTTGTGGGAGGGATAGTGGGGACATTGGTGGTGAAAAGTATGCACTGGTGGAAGGATGAATGTTTGATCATTATATGACTTGAAACTCAATCATGAAAGCTTTGCAACTGTATCTCACAGTGATTCAATAAAAAATAGTCTGATTGAAGGATGACAATAAAAAAAAATTTAGCTAGACGTAAAACACCAATAGAAGTCTCAAAAGTATTTGGAGAAAGAGAAAAGGCACACTTTCTACAGTGGATTAACAGATTAATGTCAAGTTTCTCAACAGCCAGTGGACTTCAATAAATGATTGAATAATATCTGTGAACTACAAAGAACTGATCATAACCTAGTCACCTCACAAAGTGTCTTTAATTTGTCTAGCAAGTTTATCTTTTTGTCTTGTATAATACTGGATAGTGGTTTTTTAAGAATTTCATATATATAAAACATTTTTTTCTGAAAAAATTTTAAACAACAGGTTTGGTGAACAGAATAAGGGCTTCTTCAAAATTGTCCATGTCCTGATCTTGGGAACCTACAAATGTGTTCTTGTGAGACTTTATGAGTTTGCCTAAAGTAAAGATGTCAAAGTGCAGAGATGATCTAGTCTGACGCTCTATAAGGTCTGTGTAAGGGAAGAATAAGGCAGAGCTGCCAAAGAAGAGGAAATGGCAGAACAGAGGTCTGGCTATGAGTGGTGGAAGACGTGAAACCAGTAGAGTAGTGATCTCCAGGAGTAAGCAGTGGGTTATTGTCCGAGCCTGTGGAAGGAATATAGCCTGATGATACTTTGGCGTTACTTAGGGAAGATTGCTTCCTGTTCTTCTTCAAGAAAACAAATTTATATTGTTGCAACCATTACATTTAAAAGAACAAGGAGATAGCATCTCATACCATTGAGAATGGCACATTACAAAAATTCTGGAAAAATTTTGGAGAGATAGTACAGTGGGTAAGGTACTTGCCTTGCATATGACTGAGCCAGGTTTGATTCCTGGCATCCCATATGGTTCCCCTGAGCACTTCCAGGAGTAACCCCTGAGTATCACTGGATGTGCCCAAAAGACAAACAAAACAAGGTCTGGAAATAGCCAATATTGGTGGGACTGTGATAAGAAAGGAATCCTCATCCACTGTTGGTGGGAATGCCTGCTGGTTCAGAAAACAGAACAGAGTGCTTCAGTAGACAAATAGAACTTATGTGTGACCCAGCAATGTGGAGGAAACTGGAAGGTATCATGTTAAAGGGAAATAGGTCAGAGGGAGAACAAATACTGGATGGGCTCATCTATGGGATAGAGAGAAGTGGAACAAAGAAATAGGTAGTATCCAACAATGATGAACACTTCGCCTTGAGTCACAAGATTTATCCACAATGTGGGTGAGGAGAGGTTGTAAGGAAGGTCCCACCAGTGGCGATATAGGGCCACTGATGCACGGCCATGGCATCGGTGGTGGTGGTGTGTAGTCATTTTGTATATTGATACCATAAACTTTATCACTATTTTTTTTGAATTGCAAGGATATTTTATTATAAGAAGAATTGTTATCTCTGCCTGGATGGTTTTTGCCAGATCTATGCTTGGATGACTTTTTTTTTTTATTAGTGAAGCACCATGGGGTACAGTTGTAGATCCACAAATCTTTGTGCTTGGGTTTCGGTTATACAACGATCAAATACCCATCCCTCCACCAGTGCCCATTTTCCACCACCATGGATAATATCCCCCCCATTCCCCCCCCCACCCTGCCTCTGTGGCAGGGCATTCCCTTTTGTTCTCTCTCTCCTTTTGGGTGTTGTGGTCTGCAAAAGAGGCATTGAGTGGCAAACATGTTCAGTCCATAGTCTACTTTCAACATGCATCTCCCCTCCTGGGAGGATCCTCCAAACACCCTTTATTGGTGCTCCCTTCTCTATCTGAGCTGCCCTTTCCCCTAGAATACCCGGCTGGCCTCTAAGCTATGGAGTAATCCTCCTGGTGTTGATCTCAGCTATTCTTGGGTATTAATCTCATATTTTGTTACTTTATATCCCCCAGATGAATGCAATCTTTCTATGTCTATCCCTCTCTTTCTGACTCATTTCGCTTAGCATGATACTTTCCATATTGTACCACTTGTATGTAAATTTCATGACTTCATCTTTTCTAAGAGCTACATAGTACTCCATTGTGTAGATGTACCAAAAACTTTATCACTATTGTAGAGCCTCACAACAACACGGAGTACAGTGGTATTGAGTACGTTCATATAGTCACACAATCATCCATTCCATGACTCTTGAGCTTGCAGAACTGTTGCTATCCATGAAACAGTTATTCTCTTCTCTCCTTAGCTTCTGGCAATCTTCACTCTATTTTCTGTTTCTACGAATCTGACCATTCTAGGAACCTCTTAAAAATGAAGTCATATCATAGGGCTTATTTTACTTAGAATAATGTCCTCAAGTTGGTGGGTGTGACCCCCGCCTACTGGAATTTGGAGGATCTGGGTGGAGGATGCTCGACTCCAATCCGAGTAGGCTTGGAGATCTCGGCCCCAGAACCCACGTGGCTTTGTCCCTCTGCCGGTACCTTTAGGTGTGTGGAGAGTGGTCTCAGCATGGTGGTGGCTTGTCCTGGAGGTCTTCGGCTGCCGGGGCCCTGGCCAGGGCGGGGAGGAAAGCTCAACCCGCTCCCCTCCAAGGGGCTCCGGCGAGGAATAGCCAGGCGCGGGGGCAGGAGACTGCGCTCTTCTCCGGGAGCTGGTTTTTATAGAAAAACTGGCACCGTGTAATCCCATCAGCGGCCAAGACTCTGAGACTATAAAAACCAGCTCCTGGAGGAGAAGAACGCAGTCTCCTGCCCCCGCGCCTGGCTATTCCTCGCCGGAGCCCCTTGGAGGGGAGTGGGTTGAGCTTTCCTCCCCGCCCTGGCTAGGGCCCCGGCAGCCGAAGACCTCCAGGACCAGCCACCACCATGTTGAGACCACTCTCCGCACACCTGAAGGTACCGGCAGAGGGACAAAGCCACGTGGGTTCTGGGGCTGAGATCTCCAAGCCTACTCGGATTGGAGTCGAGCATCCTCCACCCAGATCCTCCAAATTCCAGTAGGCGGGGGTCACACCCACCAACTAGCCCCCTGGTGCCGTGTAATCCCATCAGCGGCCAAGACTCTGAGACTATAAAAACCAGCTCCCGGACATCTTATTATGACATCTCATTCCTACTTTGACAAACTGGCAGGCTACCGAATGTAGCCTGCCCACACGGCAGAGTCTGGCAAACTCCCCGTGGTGCACCCAATATGCCAAATACCAGTAACAATGATGGGTCTCATTCTCCTAAAGAGCCTTGAATATAACCTCAGGGCCAGGATGAAGGAGACGTTACTGGGGCCTGCTCGAGGCAATCGATGAATAACAGAATGATCTGTGATCTGTGAATGTCCTCAAGGTTCATTCATATTGCAGCATGTCTCAAAATTTCTTTTCTTTTTTTAAGGCTAAGTAACATCCCAGTGGAATCCTGAATATGATGTATTGTTATCTGTTCATTTACGATGTACATTTGGGTTGCTTCCACTCTTTGCGTATTGTCAATACTGTTTTGAACAATATGTGTTCAAATATGTTTGATCTCCGGCTTTCCAGTTTCAGGTTTCTGGCCAGAAGTAAGCTTAAGGGATGACAGGGAAATCCTGTTTTCACCTTTTGGGGCACCGCCAAGCTGCTGCAGTGGCTTTTCATCTTCCCCAGTTCTGCACAGGCTTCAGCAGTCTCAGTTCCTTTCAGTTCTCATCAGGGACACTGATGGATGTGAGGTGGTATACCATTGGGGGTTTGATTTGTATTTATCTTATGATTAGTGTGTTGATTTTTGTTTACAAACTTATTTTTTATGCTAACAGCTGTTCATTCTTCTCTCCAGGAAAGAGATGAAGTTGCTGGAGCTGTCTGGTTTCCTGAAAGGGTCATTGAGTGCTGAGGAGCAGCTGTCACTCATCAGAGGCTGCTCCAGCATCCAGGAGGCAGTAGAGGGCGCCATGCACATCCAGGTGGGTCACGCCCTGTGTGGAAGCGTGCTGTGGCTCACACGCAGGGCAAGTTCTGGGAACTTGGTATTCGGTCTGACTTGAAAGGCAGCTGGAAGCCGTGGCTGTCTTGTACAATGTTGGAGTTTCTGTTTCTGTGATTGGAAACTCTGTCCTTAGAACCTCTGTATGGGCTCTTACCAAATGGATGTGCTATTACCTTTCACAGGCATTAGAATTTCGAATAGAAATAGCCTTTCTGGATAGCTGACATTTTAATTTTCCTAACATATTCTTGTTCTCATATATAATTGAATAAAATCTTAAAGAAATCACACAGTAGAAGCCTTTCCAGCTGTTGTGGCATTTGCGGTTTTCCTTCCCAACTCTTAACTTGAAAAAAGTAGCATTGCAATTATAAAACAGCAAATGGAAATGTTGCAGACCATGTTATCACATCCAAAATTGCAGGAAAAGAAAGAAAAAAGAGAACTTTCTTAGGGGTCCCATTCCCTCGGTTGCCGAGTCCCAGGCAGGATGGACCTGTTGTCTCTGAGTAGCTCTGGGCTGAGCCGCAGCTGCAGTGTTTCACTAAGGGGCAACTTTGGTGCCCGCCAGGACCTCAGTACCGCGGGGGAGGGGCACTGAGTGATCTTATTTATGAAAGGGGGAGTAGGAAATGCAGTTGGGGCTTTGTGCTCTTAGCTCCCTCCTTATCAGAGTCCTTGTGCCCACGGACAGTTCCTGTCTTGAAGTTGGAACCTGGACTTACAAACTGTCTTGTAAAATGTCACATTCGCCACCTCACAGTTTAAATACATATCCTTTGCATCGTCCACTCTGGAATTGCTCACATCCTGTCTCCTAGTGTCATTCCTGCCTTCTGCTTTTTTAGTTTTATTTCAGGGGGATGCTCTCATCCCCCTGGAAAAGCTGTCTTCTTTCCTGTGTGCTATGTAAATTTTCTTTCTTCCTCTAGTAAATTTTCTTTACCCCCATATTTACATTTGCTTAAAACTAAAAGAAGCATCACACCTGATATCCCACGTTGATATTTGGTATTCTGAGACTTATGCATTTTTTGTTGTTGTTGTTGTTCAGTGTTGTACTTGACCTTTGCTAAGAGTGATGCTATTCAAACTGAGAATTTGGGAAGCAAGCAAAGGTTGTGTGCGTGTCAGACTTTAAAGTTCAGGTCACATGCAGGAAGTCTAGGTGCTTGGTCTTTTCATTCTCCAGTTTCTCTGATTCATCTGACAGGTGTGTGTCTGTCATAGAAATGGACAGTCGCTTCTTCCTCTCTGCACTCTGTTCCTCACTTGCGTAAGGGAGCATTACACTGAAGAGCCTTACGAGGGCTCCAAAGCTTTCAGATGTTTCCTGCCTGGCGCAGGTGCTTCCCACCCCGGCTCAGCAGGGTGAGGGCTTTGCTAGGGCTTGGTGCAGGAGAGCATGTGCTTGTTTGCTGACCCTCCATGGGGAAGTAGAACAGAGACTCCATCACCTCTGTCACTGGGTGGGACAAGAGTCAGGTGCTAGAAACAGGTGGTAGAACAGGGCCACTCCATGCTGACAAGTAGTTTGTCCCTGCATTGCCAGCCCCACTTCCTTAGCTGTCCGGGCAGGCTCTGTGCCTGTGGAAAAGCATCTGTGATCAGCCAAAATCTCAGTTTTTCAGGGAGCATATTTTGTCATTTTATTTTATTTTATTATGGGGTCACACCTGTGTGCTTCAGGCTTATTCCTGGCTTTGCACTCAGGGGTCACTGCTGGCAGGCTCAGGAGACCTTGTGGAGTGCTCAAGATCGATCCCAGGTCAGCCACGTACAAGGCAAATACCCTGTCTGCCGTAATGTTGCTCTAGCCCCTTCCAGGAAGCAGGAAGCATGTTTAAAAGAAACTTTTTGGGGTTAATTCCCTTGGTTCTGGATGCTGTACATGACGGAAGTGGAATATTCTAATTGCATTCAGCATGTGACTGAAATGCGGACATGCACCATATTAACGTGATTTTCCTCCTTTCAGATTCCACACTGAAACTGCTGTGTCTCCTAGCAGCTGTCTGCCCGCAGTGCCTCTCCCAGATCAAGTGGTCTTTCCAGGTTCTTTTTAAGGGGGCTTCTGGGGCACAGTATCTTTGCTCGTGTCAGAGAGGGTCTCTGGGTGGGGCTTTCAAAATTTGTGTGTGGTAATAGCAAGAAAAGCTTCATCTCCATTCCCAACTACTAATTCCCAAACTGGAGGTGTCTTTTTTCTTTTTTCTTGAAGTACAACGATAGTTTGTGTCTCCAAACCTGTTACTTTAAAAAATGTTATTTACACAACTTTCCAGCACTAGCAATTGTAAAGTCACTCTCTAGTGATTATATTTTCTTTTAAATTGATAGTTAATCATTGATACTAATTAGGCTTGACTTTTCTTTGTTGGAAGATTGTAAAGTGATTTTAGCTCCTTCAGTAGATATAGGACTTTTAAGGGTATCCCTCTCTACCTGAGTGAATCTAACAAGCTTGTATGTCTCAAGGAATTTGTTCATGTAATCAATTACAAGCTTGTCACGTCTTACAATGTATGAATCTGAAGTTATTTATAATGTTTCTTTGACATTTTAACACGTGAGACTTTGATTTATTATTTTTATTTTTCACACATGCTATCAGATCAAATATAGTACCTCTTCTTTTTTTTACATAGCCAATGGAAATATGGATAGAACTAATGAAATGCAGCTTTAACTGGTGAACTATCTCGAACAGTTGGATTGTAAGCCTGAAACTTGGGAAACCTCAAATTTGATCCATGGCACTGCATCCCCCTCAGAGCCCCAAGCACCATCAGGTGTGGCTCTGTCGGCCCAAGCACCACTGAGCCAGAATAGCCCCACATTGCTGGCCCCAAACTTTGTTGTTGTTGTTGTTAATTTTGGGCCCATCTGCATTGTTAAGACGAACACACTGTATGAATGTAGGGTCTTTAGGTTAGCTGTTTGGCCTTCTCTTTAGGCATTGTGCATTATCTCTTGGTCTCCTGTGCAGCCAAGAGTTAGGAAAGAATTTATGGTCTTGGAAAAATGTGAACTGCCAGTGTCAGAGAGAGGCCAGGAATGCAGGGGTGTGACCAGTGGCTCGGGAAGCAGGGTGTGTGGAAGGGAGCGTGGAGAGAGAGTCCACCTTTGCCCTCCCACCTCAGCCCCCACTCAGGGAAGCACCTGTCCTAGACCCCCCCTCAGCACAGGCACGGTGGATCCGCCACTTTTCCCTCAGAAAAGAATTTAGGAGAAGGTGAGATGGTGAAGCAAGGAAACTTTTACTAAAAATTATTCAGAAAGCTGTGAGAGGAGAAAGAGGGAGAAGTACATGCATAAGAGAACATGCATAAGAGAAGCATGCATAAGAGAACAAAGGCTTCTCCAGAGTGGGAATAAGCAAGAAACAGTGAGACAAGCCGTGAGATACGTGCTCAAGGGGGAGCACGAACTTGCAGAGCAAGCTGGACCCAGAAACCATCCGGCTTATCCAGCCGAACCGAGGATTGTCTTCATTTCCCTCTGGCACCCCACCCCCTGCAAGTAATACACATAAAATTCAGGGCTTTTCCCCCCTAAATGTTTAAGGTTGTTGCATTCTTTATTTATTTGTGGAAATATGGATTTCTTTCAGTATCATGTTTCTCTCATTTGAACGATTTTCCTTATTGATCTTTGTAGTGTAAGTCTGCTAGATGAGAATTCAGCTCTTTTTTCTTTTGTTTTTTTCTTTTTATTAGTGAAAAACCATGAGGTACAGTTGTAGACTTACACATTTTTGTGCTTGAGTTTTAATTATACAATGTTCGAGTACCCATCCCTCCACCAGTGCCCATTCTCCCACCACCACAGATCCCAGTATCCCTCCCACCCCCCATCCCCCCCATCCCACCCTGCCTCTGTGGCAGGGCATTCCCTTTTGTTCTCTCTCTCTCTCCTTTTGGGTGCTATGGTTTACAAAAGAGGAATTGAGTGGCAATCATGTTCGGTCTATAGTCTACATTCAGCATGCTTCTCCCATCCTGGGAGGATCCTCCCAACACCCTTAATTTGGTGCTCCCTTCTCTATCTGAGCTGCCTTTTCCCCTAGCGTGTGCGGCTGGCCTCTAAGCCATAGAATATACCTCTTGGTACTTATCTCGGCTATTCTTGGGTGTTAGTCTCCTATTTTGTTACTTTATGTTCCCCAGATGAATGCAATTTTTCTATGTCTGTCCCTCTCTTTCAGAGTCATTTCGCTTAGCATGATACTTTCCATGTAGTACCACTTGTATGTAAATTTCTTGACTTCATCCTTTCTAACAGCTACATAGTACTCCGTTGTGTAGATGTACCAAAGTTTCTTTAACCGGTCATCTGTTTTCACGCACTCAGGTTTTTTCCAGATTTTAGCTATTGTAAACAGTGCTGCAATGAACAAACAAGTGCAGATGTCACTTCGACTATACTTTTTTGCCTCTCTGGGGTATATTCCCAGGAGTGGTATTGCTGGGTCAAATGGGAGCTCAATTTCTAATTTTTGGAGAATTGTCCATACTGTTTTTCAAAAGGGCTAAACCAGTGGGCATTCCCACCAGCAGTGAAGGAGGGTCCTTTCCTCGCCACATCTGCGCCAACAATGTGGGCCAGTCTCTGTGATGTGAAATGATATCTCATTGTTGTTTTGATCTGCATCTCCCTGATGATAAATGACGTAGAGCATTTTCTTACATGCCGTTTAGCCATTCGGATTGAGAATTCAGCTCTTTATGGCAAAAAGATCTTTATTTTTCCCTTGTTGTTGTTGTTTTTGTGCTGTCAGTGATGTCTGGCACATACCTGGGAACCATAGCCGAAGTGTTGGGAGTGCTGGAGATGGGCCCTGCACCTCGCATGGGAGCACTGCCATAGGAGCGTATCACTAGCCCTTCCCTCCATTTGGTTTGCTTTGGGGTCACACCTAGTGGTGCTCAGAGCTTATTTCTGACTCTGTGTTCTGGGGTCACTCCTGGCCGTGAT